TGACGCGTCTGCCTCCGCGACCCGAAAGGAGAAGCGGCGATGGAAGATGAAGATGAAGATGAAGAAGAAATAATTCAGTTTCAATTATTGTAAGGTTTTCATGTTCTCTGTATCCCCTTACCATCAATTAAAACGTAACTTCAGCTAGTGGACACATCTTTAAAGCTTTATTTTCACTAGAGTATTTTCAAAGCGATTATCAGGCTTGTAATATCCGTGAAACTCTAAATCCTGCCGATCTGGTGAAAATATGATAATGTTGCATATATTATGACAAATTGCGCATTAGAAAAGTCGATGAGAAAAGCTTTTTGGCAATGTGAAAGGTAAAGTGGATCCGGCGAAGCACAGCCAGTAAGAAACATGAAATGTTTATGATTATAAAAATGATTGGTTAGAGAGAGAGGTATCAAAGGTAATACAAGCATCTGTTGGACAGAAAGCTCAGTTTGTAACAGCATTCGTTGGGCATTCGCCTCAACGTATCGACTCGAAACTTATGTCGTCCCTCTTTGACAAGAGGGCATGTCTTGCAAATTATTTCAGTGGCATCTAAACCATAGAAGTTGCGATCGTTTGATTTGAAGAAGCAGTAGCTCACAACACAGGAAGATTTGGATTTCCGCATTCTCTCCAAAAGCTTGTCGAGCCTTATGGCACCAGCTCATTGTGAAAAACTTCATTTCTGCTACTTATATCCTTCTCTTTCGGTCCATTTCTAGCACCCATGATCATTAACGATGATAGGTGGTTAAACAAACGTGGAGGTATGGCTTTGCTTTACCGCTTATTTATTCTTCATCTCCACTGGCCGAATTAGCTCCTGTGTTACTGCGCTTGTCGACTCGGGTTTATTTTCATTTCCTGCTTCCCGTCACTCACGGATACTGTTCCTAAGTACTTAAGCTTCACCATTTGCCTCAGTTGTTCCACTCTAATGACCTGTTTGAACAATGTTTATCCGCCAATTTTGACATATATAAGCCTGTCGGCAAAGAACGCTATAATTTTAGGAAATCAGTGCCAGTTCTGCTTCAGAAAACTCAGTAATGCGCTAAGGACCAAGAGCATATGTTTTATGGCTGCACCATCTAGGCATATTGTTGTTTCACAATCCTCGCGATGTAGAAATTTTGCAAACGTGCCAGGCTTAATCTCTTGGTAAGCTCACGCAGCCAGTAAAGCGAATGGCATAGCGGTCTTCGCTCAGTACCCAGATTAACTTTCTGGCAGGTGCGATTAAATTAACGGTTCTCCAACACCAGGACGCTCCACGTTTTAGATTACTGCTCTTAGACAGTCGGTGGCATTCCTGGACGCATGTGCACATTACGTCAAAAAAGCACCTTCTACGGTAAACAGTGCCTTATCACCGGCAACAAGCAGCTGCAT